CACATCACGTTAGACACAGAACGCGCATCGCGTATGACACAAAATGGCTTCTAAATTCTCAATGTCGCAACTCTTTCTATCTATGGCTCTGATATGCAAATGAGTATAGCGCCATCATATTTACAGTTGAGGTATTCAATTTATTTGTTCAAAAAGTAACCTTTTCAAACATCACTAATTATTTTATATATTATAAATTTTCCAAAAAAAAACAAAGCAGACCCTACAGTACTTTGTTCTAGATTTTGGGTAATAACAAATTTTGGACATATTGTAAAAAAAAAAAAAAAAGATAGGTATTTACTGCCAGCAAAAACAATAGATACTGTAGGCCTATCTTATTTTTTTAAAAATTTATTGAAAGTGAAAATAATATAATAAAATAAACTAAATTTTATATTAATGACAAAAAAAAATTAGTTTCATTTTCGATCCACTCCGTTCAAAATGATTTTATGAAAAAAATACAGACAACAGTGGTAACCACTTGAATGTGATATTGCGAGCATAATTGGCAATTCTACAAATCAGAAATATCTTTCTTCCTTCCTTATCCTAACATGCTACTTGCGTCAGTTTGTATCACATCAAAATAAATGGAAAACTGTAAGACTTGTTGATACATTGTTTTAGCAAAATGTTTTAAAAACGATTGTTAGAGGGCAGAAAAAATTACAAAAAAAAAAAAATTTAGCTTACCAGCGCCCCTACAGTACGGTAGGTTAATTACTAGATCGGTAAGTATTAGGGAACTAGTACACCCCTGGTTGGATCTTTGGGGAGATACTGTATATTTGATGTTTTCTTATTTTCTTTGTTTGCAAGTTTTGCGTGTGCTTTACAACAACATGCATAAAAATTAAATATTGTCTCTGCCATCCAGTGGCATATCTAGGGATCCTGAAATGGGAGAGCTGATTGGGATGGGGGGGGGGTTGATAAAGTTAGTGGGGAGGGCTCAATAATTAAGTGAGGGGAGTGAGGTCACAAGATAAGGTTCATATGACTCTGAGGTGATTTTTAACCACTTGAACATTATTTTGTTTTACAGTATATTCAATTGGGGGACGACTAGGGCAGTGTGCGCCCCCGCGTATACCCTAGATACGCCGCTGCTGCCATCCATGCACTTTTATTTAATTTCAACATAATTACAAGAAATCTGCTTTGTAATAAGGTTATGAGAATAAAGTAATAAAGTACAGGTACACCACTAACCATAACTCTTATTAACATACTGTACTGTAATCAAATTAATCCTTAATCTCAAACTAACAAAATAATAATGCAGATACAGTACTTCACAATACAAAACCTTATTAATATTTTAATCAATGATTTACTTATTCATTTGACTTCATACGTGCTAATGTGAATCAAGTTCCATGTTGCGGTAAACACATAAACACACAGTGGGATTTTCTGTGGAATGCCCTGGAGTTGACCACACAAGACACGGGATTGGTCTGACTCTACTCAATCAACATGTAAAGAATATTACAAAGGTTACCAAACATTTTTTTCCTGGAATTCTCTGAAATGCCTTGTAGTTGAGTATTGTAGCATCACAAAAACATACTATACTTTGTGGCCGCCTGCATGATATTTCCGCTCTTACCATGAAATGAAGACTGAATCAACATGTAAGGACGTTACAATAGCTTATGAGACTACAATAAATTGTTTAGTTAGTTCCAAATAATAAAACATACTGTACTCTGTGACCGCCTGCACGATATTTCTGCCCTGCATCATTGTCTTCATACTGTAGTTTACATTACAAATACACTTTTTCACATGTATGGCGACCACTCAAAGATACAGTAGAAACAAGCATGACAAAATGTTGAAAGATCATGGAAAACGAACCTGAAAGTCCCTCAGTGATTTTCCTTAGACACCGCGGAGGAGCCACAAATTTGTCTAGCCAAAATTCTGAGCCAAATGCTGGTTAATTTCAAGAAATGTACTTTTTCGGACTGTCAATAAAACTTAACTAACCAATCAGATGAGCGCCAGGAATACGCATGTGTTCTTAAACACACAGGTGTAGTCCCACAAACACATGTAGTGTTTACAGTTTCCGTTAAACTTGCCAAAGTCAACTGTGCCTAACTTAAACTAATTTGAACTTATTTTACATGATAAATTGTTGTGTTTTCTATTCAGGATCAATCTGTAAAGTAAAATCAAATTTTATCTAGGTCAAACAACTTTTTAATGCCATTTTGGATTTGACTTGGGCTAGTGCAGCCGTACAGATATATTTTCGATATTGGTTTTGCAGGACCTTGCAACAATATTTAGGGGGCGTGGCTCAGCAGAAAAGTCTACTGTGACAGGCCTTGATGCTTTTTTACCACATATACTATATAGGTTTTCAATACCACCTCCAAGACAAAGAGATTCTGATTGATACTACAGGGGTGCCAGTTTCCTATGTGTCGCAGCAGTCTCACGGAAACCGGAACAGCCTAATGCACTTCCATGAGCAAGCAAAATCCTCCTGGAAACTAGTCCATCTCCTGCAAATTCAAAAAAATTTTTCATGTTTATACTAACTGTCAGACCCGTAGCCAGGTTTTTCCAATGGGCTTTTCTCTAGGTGCGAGGTCCAGGGTCGAAGCCCTAGTGGGGTCAGCAAAACTACCGAAACCAGAGGATTTTTGTGTTTTATGGGTCTAAATAATGGTAAAAAAGCACTGTTACATTTGAAAAAGGTCTGCAGCAAAACATTCCATCTGGATGGGTCTGCAGTTCATTAGTTGGGTTGTCGGACTCATTCAAGAAATTTGGGGGGGGGGGGAGAAGAGGGGTTGAAAGAAAAGAGAGAATTTGCCCTAACAATAAACCACTCCCCCCCCCCCTCCCGGGGGAAGCGTTTTATTGTGTTCCGGTTTACGGGACTGACTGAACATTACTTAGGTGTCTCCCTGGCAATGGGTATCACTGCACAGTCAAAATATAACTAGATGTAAAAGGCAATATTAAGTAAACACTATTAAATAGCAAGTATACAGTACTGTCTACATGCTTTAATTTATTAGTTTAAAGTATGCATCTCATAATATACAAAGCATATTGTATACCAAGATTGTGCAATACACACCTGGCATATTGCCAAATTTGATGCATGAATAAAAATACTAAAAAGTATAAAAATACTGTCAACACCATTTTGCCTAATAAACAGAACAATTAATTATCAGAACAGCACTACAAAAACAGAGAAGCACAGTCTATTTGTACTCATAAAAGGGTTTTCTCGATTGGTCGAATTCAACAGGGTTGCTATTACGAAATTCCTGGTAAAATATCATTTGCATATATTGGCATTCCACCAAGTATTGCGATATCTTCCAAAAATAACTACACTGTACTGAATACTTTAACTAGAATACTGAGGCATCTTGTGAAATTATGTACTTCATTGATGAATTTGGAATATTTTACCTTTATGTTAAAATAATATTAATAGGAGAAAATATATTTTAGATGTGTTGACAAACTCAAACAATAAAATCCGAAATTTGCATGGTTACTTGTGTTTGCAAAAAGAAAAAAAAAAATGTTTAAGCGTATAATTAGGATGCAGAATTACTGTATATTATAAAAATTTAAAGAAAAGGTTAAATTTTTTTTAATTTGTATTTTATTAGCCATTTCAATATTAGTTATAGTATCACTAGGCTTTCGCGAGCTTCTCATCACTTTACTCTGTCAAAGCCAAAGTGCAGTTACCGAGTAATTTGAAAGGAGCTTTTTTTCCCAGAGTCACGGCTTTGTGGAATTCCCTTCCGAGGACCAAGAGGTCACACATGGAGGCACAATTCGCCACTGACACCACAAAGAGACAAAACATAAAAAACAAATTTTCAATCTTTTTTCTTTGAAATTTTGATTACGTACAGTACATTGAACCTTTTGACGTAATTGTTAAGAGCGCAACTACATTATTTAGTTAATTAAAATAATTAGCCATAACGCACAAACCAAGAAAAATGTTTTATTAGCGAAGATTCAGTGGGTAATCAGAAAATGCAGAGCAGCATTCATAGTTGTGATCATATAGATAAGGCCTGGCTGGGTTAGGGCTACATAATTGTGAAGATCAGATTGAAAAGTCACCTACAGTAGGCATCCGGTTCCCTTCTTGCAGTATAACTTTGAAATAAGACAAACACGCATTAAGCGTGTGGAATGATTAGTAAAATAAACATTTTTAAGCAGGATAAGCCTAATTTGTAGGCCTATAATTACCCTTGACAACTATAGTAAAACATCTGCTAAAATACATTTTGTGTCTGACAACAGAGCACACAGCATGTAAAATGAGATTTTTGTTTTGAAGGGACACAAACTTTGCTGTACAGTTTAAACATTCTATGCTTGTTTATCTTTATCATTTTCACTCACAGATACAAACTGTTAATTAATATAAAGAAAAGAAAAATAAATTTTAGAATTGTTTAATAAAACAGTCAAAAAATACTTAACATTTTGATATCTTGACAGTGAAATTCACGGTTTTTTTTCGAAAATTTGTTTTGGTCAAAATCAAAGTTAGTGTCTCCTCGTGGTGTCGGTGATGAATTGAGAGGGACACTAAAAGAAAAATATATGCGGATACTGGCTAATAATCACTCTGATTGGTGAAGTTGTGTTGAGTGCAATGTGTCACAAGACATTTAGCGTTGATGATGAACTTTATATTTTGTGTCTTTTATTACTTAGCTTTTTCTTTTTTATTTATGAGAAAAAAATGTCCTTGCTGCATTACTATTAGCAATATTATTTTGCATTTAGACACTTACTGTAAATATCACTATCAGTTGACAATCATCAATTTTGAGGTTTATGTAGTAAAATGTGTGTATAATCAGCATGATTTTCTTTTATCATGCTTCATTGGATAGTAATAACTCAGTATTTGATAATTTTTAATTGAGCTATGAATTGGTAATAATACTGTAGCTCAATTAAATTAAATTTGAATTAGCTTTTTAGATGACTGAATTTCTAAAAAGCAATAACCATTTGCTACTTTGCCCTATTCCCCTCCATGTTTGGTGTAAAGTCAATGACAGTGATGTGATCAAGGGTCAACGTTATTGAGGGTGCTTTGCATTCTGAACTCTTATTAACATACAATACATAGAAGAACTATTAAACTTACAGGGATTTATCATTCTTGTATTATTTTATATTATTTGAAATAGCAAAAAAAAAAAATTGCTTGCTTTTTCAATCATTTTACTATTTTGATTAAATTTAAAAAAAAAACTGTGGCTGAATTTTCTCTTTATTTAAAATTTTAAAGGCAGATTAAGGCTACTGAAAGTTCAGGTCAGGTTCAGACTAGAGCCCTGGTATCCGGATCAGGAGCACCCTGTTGGCGCTAACAGATCTGTTTGAGAATACCCAGTCGGTTAGCGTCAAACTTTACCAGGATCTGAATACGCTAACGGTTTAAGCATGTTTCAATCATTACCCAATCATGAGTACGTATTTCCAATTTTTAGTTTCCTATTGGCCAGTCAACTTCTTGATATCTGGATCGGAGATTTTCTTGTACAGTACAGTATGAATGTAACCGTTAGCTGGTGTGTGTGAACACAGCCTAAAATTGCTACCAGTCCAGTGAATTCAACAAGGATCCCATAAATTTTGTTAAAGTATAGCTTTAATGTGTGGGGATGGTAACCCATAATCAGCAAACAATTATCTCAAAATATAGTGAATGCTGTCAAAATTTTACAGCCAACAAAGGAGTATCAAACGCACCAAGCACAGTGCAAGTGAAACTATCACATAAAGGTTGTCTTCAAATTAAATACTGTACACCTGAAATTAAAAACCACCTTTTTGCGGCCAGAAATGAACGTCACTCTTTTACTTTTAATTTTATAATTAACCTTTTTTTTCTAATTAATTTTTCTAATTAAAGATCAAGGCTGCTATAAAGACCATGAAAACTACGGTACCAAAATTAGTCTTAGATCTAACGTAAATCTAACTTAAGTCGTCAAGTTTGTTATGATAGCGGTCATTTTTGACATTTTATAATATAACATATCATTTCATGGGAAAAACCAGCTGCAGGAGGAAATGTGAACATTCCCAGTGCAACCGAGTCAACATAAAATACTAACCGCGAAGGGAACGGTCGTTTCGAGTTGGCCGTAGTTACAATAAGGCGGCCCTGGGCCGATATAATAAGTGCCATTGGGCCCTTACAGTAAATGGTTTGAAGACCATTACAACCTTTGGATTCAATAGAATATTAACACTGGATAATATTTTCATGAATAATGCATTAACACAAAATGACAGATGATACTGAAGGGATACACATGCTCAAACCACACCACTTACAAGCTTGCCAAGTTTTCTAGGTTTCATTACACAAACAACTCAAACCACAGCTTACTCCAGACCAGCTGCTGTACCAGGCACGTTCAGGAGTTAAAAGAAAAGCTTTGAAGCTGTACAGCTAAGCCCTGGGTAGTGTCTGTGAAGACACTTTTTTTGTATTAAGTACAACAGACAATTAATTTACTTAAGTCTACTAACTGTAGAAGTCTCAGGAGGAATGTGCTACTCAGCAAGTTGCTGGAAGTAACTTGTGGCCGATTAGCGTCCCGCCCAGGGACACACACTCATCCACTGGGGAAAGCTCATTAACAACACACTGTAATTAACATTAACAACTTAAAATATTTTAAAAATGAAATACACTACCACATTCTCCTTTAGTAATTTCCTTGATTTCTGTTTTTAAAAAAGGCTACTCAATCAAATGAGAAATAAATTTATGAATTATAGGCTAATATTAAATGTCAACAATGTCTGAAAATTCAAACCAGACTTTAAAAATTTATTGACTGATTTCAAATTTGTATCATTACCAAGTGGTTTTATACTTAAAATTTGGTAAATTATAAGAGGATTTTGAAAGAGGACAATCTAGAAGAATATTGGTTGGAAAAGTGTTGCTTGCCAAATTTAACAGCTCTGGCAGCCAGCCACTATCCAGGGGCTACTATCATAATACAAATGACTTTAGAATGACTTCATAGGAGCCATACTATTACAGTATGCAGTCATCAAGGTAACCCAAAAAGCAGTCGAGCTCAGTGGTGCACCCTCCAGGAATAAGCTACTGTACAAATAGAGGGGAGTCCAGGCTAGCTTAGCCCCACAGTACAGAGTAGTTGGGGCTAAGGTCAGAAAGTTTATGACTATTATTACTGTAGAAAGGGTCAGACTCTATTTTTACTACTATTGCTGGGGTAGTGGGGAACAACAGTACTTGGGGTCCCCTGCATGCTGGAAAGTATCAAATTAATTATATGATTGAAATGTCAACATACTGTACAAACAATAATGCCATCTTACAATTACATTTGTTAGCCGATGATGCACAAGAGTCCCCAGCCGGAAGCCCCTAGCTGCAGTATGCCAAATGTGGCACTGCTAGATGGCTGGAAATGGCACTCTCAAAATTTAAAATTAAATGCAATTTTAATTTTCCCATTTAAAAAAATTTTATTTTTTTATTTTAATGAATTTAGGGTAACTTCCCCCCACCTCCTAAGAATTTTCCTGTATCTACAATATTGTCAAAATGCCAGTAACATCAAAATTTATTACCATGAACATGAGTGAATAACTTGGGTGGTTATTAAAGCTGACCCTCTGTAACTTGTTTGCCAGCATTTGAAACCAACATTAATGATGTTCATCACTGTACAGTACTACAGTAATATAAAAATGAGTGCTTTTTTCCTCCATTAGATAGAGATGATATGCAATTTATCTATTAGAACTGTACTGCCAAACAATTTTGACTGCACATATATAAATAACACAAGCATTACAAAAAATGACTGACCTTGGATAGCCCAACACCTTATAAGGCCAAATAAAAAAAAATACTAGTTTCTCGTCACCTCGCGCATCCATTTTCTCATGCCTTACCCAATTTTTTTTTTTTTATTTCCTGTATTTTACGAAAATCTGACTAACGCGCATCAGTACAATTCCTCTCTTGATCGCTCATGGTTGGGGATACATTTGGTATAAAATTTTATTTGCTTTCAATGTGTCTACTTGGTAAAAGTGAGAAAGTAGTAGCTGTTTCCCATCGACCATCTTGGATTTGCCATCTCAGAGTAAAAAAAAAAAAAAAATTGCCCTTATTCTCCTTTTTTCGAAATATTAGGACAAGAAACTACTTTTTTTTTATTGGCCTAAAGCACACACTTTTCAATACGATAAAAATATATTGTCACAATGGTATAAGTACAGCTACTGTAAGATATAGTTCCGTAATTAGTACATACAGTACAGACACAAATTACCGCTTCGTATCTGCGCGAACATCTCGTAATCTGCTCGTAGGTACGTTTTGAACGTAGCTACGAACCACTACGAAGGTCATTGTTATTTTAATTAGCTTTGCAATGATCGTAGGCTGGATCGTCGGGCTGATAAACAATGCGTAAACAATATTGAAACATAGTTTACCAGCTTTCAACACGTAAGCAATGTTGCAATTTACTAAATAAACAATGTTAGAACTTTATTGTTTTGTTATATCCTACCTTATTATTAAATCGATCATGTTTTAAAACTGTGTTTAGTTCGCTAGCTGGGTAACCTAGGCTAGTGGGCATTCAGTATGTTCGAATTTCGATGTCATATAGGCTTACGTACGGCCTACATTTTCCCCTATAGAGGAGGAGAGCAGACAGTAGTTATACTGGTAAACTTTCCAATTCGGAGAATTTTGATCTGATATTATTCTTCTGGTAGTAGGAATTTTCTTCTTTTAAATAATACTGATGATGACAAATCATGTACAAATTACGATTTCTACAGATCACGTTGTTTATTGTTTACCGTAATTTGAAGCAGAACAACCTGCAAAGCGATCCAATACTAAATGGAAGTATAGAAATCACTTCCTTGCCGAATTAAGGCTAGTCATGCTAGACCGCATTTACTCCGTTTTTTACTCACTGTTGCTCACAGCTTTTCAACATTTGCCACAAGGTTAACCTTTAACACACTTTACTGTGTTCTGATTGGCGCGCACTCTGATGTCTAATGCTGGCTAAGTTTTATTTTCCATTGGGTTTTCCATGTGACATTCGGTAAATTTACAACCAACGGACGTTAATTCTCCTTTTATATTTATTATTTATCTTACTATAAGTATAAAATCAAGACTACAAAATATTATTTGATGAACAATCTTTTCACATGTGTGTATTGTCATTGAGGACATCGTTTTTTGACATTTTAAATGAGGTAAAACAATTTTAAATAAAAAATAAGCTAGGCCTAGGCTAATTAATTAAAAAAAATAATACAGCAGTACAAACAAGTTCCTGTCGTGGACAGCGAGTGGAAGAGGAGACTCCCATGAAGTCAAGTGTACGTTTTTCATATTGAAAAACAGCTCTATACTTTAAATTAATGGTCTAAACTCGTGTTTGCCATTCACTAATTATCAAACAATACATTGTTTATTTCAGTAAGCTACAGCAGTCTTTCTGCACATACAAATAAACAACATGCTTTTGCTTCGCGTAGCCTTGCTTAGATTGTTTATATCAGGCTACGATGTATCTACAAAGCCTGCGCGCAGGTTAGATTGTTTATATCAGGCTACGATGTATCTACAAAGTATGCGCGCAGGTGAAAGTGCAATATTTCATGACGGTACTGTATATACAAATTTAATTAAATCAATAAATATATCAATTAGGGATAAGATGATTAGGCCTACTGTACGTTTCATTCTTTTCCATGCATTGAAAATAAAAAAATACTAGATATTAAACAGTGAACAATGATGAAAATGATGACAATTTGATAAAATTGCCTTCCCTGTCACATAATTGGCTAGCACCATATTTTCTTTAATTATTTATGGCGATTTTGAAGTGTACTTTAGGGTAATTCCGTGTCAAATCAACCAGAGGTTAAAAATGATCCACTATGTGAAAAATCAACATACACAAAAGATTAGCCCTAATGGATATGTACAGTAGTTTCCAAGATATTGATGCCGACAATAAAGGGGCGTGGCTCTTCAAGATGGGCAAATGCAATTTCCTCCAACTTTGGAAGCTTGACCTTAATAGCTATTACCAATCCAGAGTTATAAGCTTCCAAAGTTGGAGGAAATTGTGTTTGCGCATCTTGAAGGGCCACGTCCCTTTTTTGAGGAGTCAATATCTCAGAAACTAAAAAACCTATAACACTACTTTTTGGTAAGTGTTGGTTTTTCACATCGTGGATCATTTTTATGGAGTTTCATCAAAATCTGAGAGGGTCATACTGGAACTGTTTTTTAATCTGGTTGATTTGACACGGAATGACCCTTTAGTAGTTTATGACAAGATTCTAATGGACTTGAAAAAATATCCAGAGTAAAATTAAATAAATGAAATCATACTCAATTTTAACATTTTTCTGAGAAGAGATAGGACGGTAGAATATCACTTTTTTCATGATCTATGAATTAGAGCAATTGGTAGGACAGCCAGATAAGACTGTACCTGTATCCAACTGTAACATCTACTGTGAAAGGCTGATTATTTGCTTCATGATTTATGACTTACTATGCATAGCATACAGTATTGCCTAATTATTGTTTTAATATAGTGCAATGTAATTTATGATATAGTAGGCCCCATAAAAAAATTATTAGTTTATCACCCTATCAAAGAATAAAAACTGATGAGGGAGGGAGGTTTTTTTTTCTTTGCTAACCCCCCTCCCCCCATTTTACCAATGTTCACAAGTAAATCAATGGTAAGGGACACATATACAGTATAAAAAGACATAAAAATGGAATCAAATTTATATTTTTAAAAACATATTTGCAAATTTTGAGCTTTCACAAGTGAAGTCAAATGTAAAAAACGACCGTTTAATATAAAAATATGCGTTGATTGAAAAAAAAAAATCAGAATTTCCCCAAAAGTGATGAGGGAGGGGGTGATAAACTAATATTTTTGTTATGGGGCCTTACCTAGATATTGATGTACAATAGTAGTATGAATGATTTTGCACTATATTTTGCATAATATAGTCCCAAATAATTCATTAATATCTGGAATTATCACCCCTAAGAGAAGGACAATAATGTGTTGTTAAATATTAATGTTGTAACACCGATGATCTGTCATTTGGCTAAAAGATGAAAAGGTTATTTTGTTATGCAGATTAACCAGTGTCTGCTGCTCAAGAGAAAAGTTCATAACCCTTTTAACCTGTATTTCCAATGCATTGTTTGTATATTAAGGTGGCAATGGGCCATGGAATGTAAAATAACTCATGGACTCTACCATTCTATTCATGGGTAGATTTAATGACTAAAAAAGAAAGAATAAACTAAACTTAATTCTAAAATAGGATCCTGGTTTCACAATTAACTTTACAATATTCATTTTCATCTGTTTAAATATTCTATAAACAAATTAAAACATGGAGAAAATTTTGGTTATAGAAATGCATTGAAAAATTTGGTAGTGTTTATTTTGTTGAATGAGTCTCTATCCTATTGTTGCTAAAAAAAACCCTGATGAGCCAGACAAGCCTCAAGGTCTGTTTGGGCCATATCCAATTGCATTATATAAGTTGCCATAAGAATACAGTATGGAAACCACTACAGCCTCCAATTACAATAGCCTGATGTGAATGGAGAAATCAACAAATGCCAACAGAATCAATAGAAGTGGGTGGAGTGTATTTAAGTACAAACATTAACACAAAAAGATAAATTATTAACTGACAGTGATACTGGCTTCAAATTGTGAAAGTTACGGAGTGGCGGATCCAGGAATTTAATGGAGGGGGGGCCAGGGAGGCACTTTCAGAGGTGGGAGAGGGGGAGAGGGCTTAGAAAACCTCAGCCCCCACTGTGGTTGGGGTTGAGAAAAGAAAATTTATGATTATGGAACCTCTGGATAGTCGGAAACGGCATTCTCAAACTTAAATTTGAATTATTTTCCCCTTTTTCCCCCAATTTTGTAAAATTCTGGGGTCCAGGGCCTGATGCTCCTACCCCAACCGCTAAATCCGCCAACTGCAACAGTTTTGTTTAAATTAAATTATAACTGAACATGATCTTGGAAGTGCAAGGCCGAAAAAAAAACACTGTTTCCTGCTCAGGTTTGTTACAGTACATGATAGAGGACAAGTTCTTCGTCCTCCTCCGATGATCTTTAAAAAATAAGTATGCGAAACAAGGAATAAAAAAGTCTCGTCTTAGTTTGAACTTATTATCACTCAATCAGATTTTAACTGGGCAAGTAGAACATAGCCTACTACAGAAAAAACAAGCTCCTTGACTAAGTAAAATAAAAAGGATTGGAAATGTTGAGGAAACAGTTGAGCAGGGCTATACAGTAGTTAAGCATATTTCATGTCCCTTCACCTGCCCTTATACTAACACACTTTTGCATCATTAAAATCCACTGGCCACCCTACCTCACAATACTGAGGCTTAGTACGATGGGCTAACAGCTCATTTCCCTACGTTCAAAATTGAATATGGGACTACCTCTATCTTACCAATATTATCACGTACCCACCCTCAACATGTCTATCATCACCCACCCATAGTTTTCTTCAGCTACAGAAGGCAGTAAAAAGGAAGCGGATCAAGAAAATAAACTAATAAATTGTTTTATTTGGCCTATAATTACAATTAACCCAGATTCATGGAGGACAGAAGAGGAAGTACAGTATGGAAGGTCAACTGTTGCTTAAAGGTCAAATAACAATAAACTTTAATATAATTATTATTGATATCTACAGAAAAACATTAACAAATATTAAGTTAATGCTTTACAAAACGTTACAAAAATATATTAATATGTTATATAATCAAATGCATGGCTGAGAAAGAATGATAAAAAGAGGCAGAATGTTATTTTCTGGGGGTGGGGAGAATAGGTAGTTTTCCTGCAACGATGGGCTAATTTCCTGCAGGGGTGGGTTATTCTCTAACAAGTGTGGGTTATTTTCTGGCAAGGGTTGGTAACTTCTTACCAGTCGGTGTTCCAATAATGGGTCAACAAATATTTTCATGAATAAGAAATACAGGCCTACTGTCAGTGGGATGAATTTACCACTGGGATGGATGGGAAATCATTATCACTATTGAGACTATAATAAGGTCCAATACAAACCAGAGACTTGCAGGCGTCAACGTTCCTATGCATGATACATGACTTAAAAAGTATATATACATATATACATATATATATATATATATATGTGTGTATATATACACACATGCGTGTTATTTTTTTTTATGAAACAACCCTGTAATAATACTGCAAAGCACTGGATTTCATTAAATAAGACTTTACCAGAATAATTATCTTCTTCATAATGTTTCTTTTCTTTTATTACTATCAAACTACATTCAATTATGGTACGTAGGCCTACATGGTAGATAGTGTACCAGCTTTCAATATATTTTTTTATTAATAAACAAATGATCATGTTTCCTTTTCAAGTTTTAATGGCAGATTTATATACATGCAAGCAAGGTAAACATTAAACATTTGTTTACTATTTTAATTTCAAGAGAAAATAATATTAATAATGCATAGGGCAGCAGCCTGGAAAGAGGTAGTCTGGATCAAACTGATGATTAATCAATGATATCACTTTACAACAATCCAATGCCATAAATAAGATAGACAGCCTAGGCTAGGGCCTAAAAATAATAGGTTTAGGCCCTGGCCTATGTCTAGGCTTAGGCCTATGTCTCTTTACTCTAGCCTAGTTCCACATGCCGATGGTGCCCAGCCTGGTCGTCCTCCCTAATAGCAAAAATCTGATATCTCGGCCTCAACTGAAGCTTAGGCCTAGGCCTAGGGCTAAAAAATCACAAAGACTGATAATTGTTATGTCTAGCATCATCTATGTACAGACTTGTACCGTTGGTTAACTTGGCCATGGAGCAAATATTCCAGACAGTCAATACAATTAATCTACTGTACCTAAGCCCCAGCAAACAATTGCTGGCAGCAGAGACGGATCTTGACATTTGCCGGGTGACAGACCAGAAAAAGGCATTGTTGTGAAAACCAACGGATTGTACGCACACAGCTTGCGTTTTACAAGCCTAATGAAATACAGTAAAATGAAAATGGCATCTAATATACGTTATAAATATACACAAATTGTTTATCAAAGAAGTAAATACTTACCATTTGTTACCACTCAGATGCTTACTTCCGGTGAGATTTTTCTAAGCATTTCCATCGGCAGCCCTGCGAGTTTCGATCGCCAGCGATCAGCTGGGCTCTATGGCTGAAAATTCATCAGATGATTTGCATATCTAGACATGTCATGTCAATGACAAAGATCGATGAGTACATTGGTCAATTGCGAACCCTGGGAATACAATAGACCAATGACGTTTACCCTACTTACCTCTCTATTTCTTATAAGGGTGTAAATAGACCAAATAATTAGTGACGCCTGTTCTATTTTTTGACATTTAATCAAACCATTTCCTCAGCTATGATCAAACGCAATCATAAGAAGAGTGACGTCATAAAAATGATCGATACTATTATTTTATAAAATTAAATGATTGATGTGGCTAGCTGCGCGATGATTGTAATTTGACGATCAAATTTGAATAATGAGTAGGGTTATATTATTATAGTAATGTATTTTAGATAGATAATAACAATTATGATGAGAATAATAGCAACAACAACAATAATAATAATAATAATAATTGGATAAGATGATGATTATGATTATGAATAATGATTATGACAATTTATATTTGTGATATTATGACC